TACGACCGTTATTGACCACCGGTCACCGACGACATATCCGTGGCCGCGAGGAACAACACCCCGTGTCGCGTGTTTTCACTTTCGTGATTCGCTTCAAGATTCGATCACTAATTCTTCGTATCGGCGGTCTTTCAATCGCTATGCTCCGATCAACTTTTTCCGAAAAGTATGCAAATTCTGTACAGATTCTGCGCTCCTTTTGCACCCTTTTGCGAACCGAATTCATTTTATGGATGTCCAGAGTTAAAACTATTGTGTAAATACAAGCCCGTGAACGGTTTTGCAACTAGTTGCATCGAAATACACTTACAGAATAACAACGGATCAATTTTTTCGATGTTTGTTCGTTCTGCTTGCGTAGACCGTGTTTGCCGGTTTCGACTGTTGCAGATCCTGTTTTGAAATTCGTCCAGAAAATCGAAGAACGTCGATAAAGAAACGCCGAAAGGAACCGCATTTAATTAAAACTCGTATTTCACGAGCTTCCATAAACGTTCGATAGGTTCCGTCTCGCAAGCGACGCAACGTTCGCATAACCCGCAGCTAGCTCGTAGATTCGTTGTCAACGTCGAGAACAGATAGATGCCGCGACAATGGCCTGATAATAGATATTTTAGGCTCGCGTTTAAGTTTAAGGTATCGTATAACATTATTACGAAGACATAATGGGCCGCCGCGGCACGCAGATGTGTCTTCGAAGTTCAAACTTTATAGTGAATGGCACGATAAACATTCAATCGAGCAAGGGTTGGGGAACCTTTTATCACGGGCCGAAAGACAATGGTACAGATATTCATTTAGAGGCGCGTTTCTCTTGTAAAATAGCTGGCGGCTCGATGGAAGCAACGTTTACCGGTCCGCATTGTTCCCAATGAAATTTCTTGGTTCGCCGTCGCGGCACACCGCGGCGAGCCGAACTATTAAGATCGCGGATAACGCGAATTGATTGCGATAAATCACACGGATCGGTAATTGTTGTCTATTTTGAATAATCGCAATTATAACGGCGCGACTGATTTATGTTTATATTAACACGTGTGAATTGGTCAAACCGCGCGCACGGTGTACATTCTACACATAAGTACATTGCACGCGAATTCCGATTAAATGTTTAGCGAACGGTGACGGCGTATCGAAATCGAGCGAACATGCTGAATCGAACGGGGTCCGGTCGATTGGATGTCTAACTTCGATTAAAACGCTGGCGATAAATTCATCGTTTTTGGCATTCTAATTTATACTTTCTCGGGGCAAGCGTTGCTCGCTTTCGTTTCCTGATATTTTCCTTAACTCGATCGCGTCGAGTCCTTGATTGAAACAACATTACGAAAATAATATTGGAATCCACGTTTCGTCGCTATTATTTTACGATAGAAAAATGGAGATTTGACCCGTTGAATCGCGCACTCGTTTTTGTCCATCGAGAGGAACGCGGCGCAAGGGTGGCGCGGTAACTTTTTCTGGACGCGGTAACTCGCCCAACGTCTTCCTCAGCCTATCTCCTATAAAAAAGAAAGGTCGAAAGGATCGTAAAGGTCCGTATATGTCGCGTCGTTCTCACCTAGCGTGCGATGAAAGCGAGAAATCGGCGAGCGTTGCGGGCCGAGAGACGGATCTATTAAGGGCTCGAGCCGTGCGTTGGGCCGCGGTACGGGGTTAGACCTGTAATTAACCGGTAGCTCTTTTACTCGCGAGAGACCGTAGTACTCTTGCCGGTTTAACGGTCTACTTTTATTGGTCGCTTATTGGTTATTTTTGGGCCGGCCTTTGGCCCGAGGCGGCCTCCAAGCGCCGCGCGCCGCGCCGCGCACAGCCTCCGGCATCGGCATCGGCTCCGGCTCCGGCCAGCGTGCTGGCTGTGTAATATGTAACCGGATGTCGGAAGTCGGAAGTCGGAAGTGGAGGCGATCGGCCACGGAGAATCGAAACTATCGTCCCTCCGACACTTGGCGCCACGAACGGCCTCTCTGGCCGTCGAATCTCGAACCTGACAGCGATTACCTTCTACCCTCCAGGCTGCGTGAAAATGCGCCTTCTCTCTTTCTTCATTTACAGTTAGTTTCGATTATGTATTCGGATCGAAACTGAGGCAATTTTCGGGAATTTTGCTTCGCGCAATTATACCAAATCATTTAATTCGTTGTCGCGAAACATAAAAATATTGTCTCCCATTATATATATTGAGGAGGCTCCCCAATATGTATATGCGTGTACAACAGGCGCCTGTAAAATCAGCCGATCTCTGACAATACTTCAAACTTCGTGTTACAATTCCAGAAACGTATTTTCCAGATAAAGCAGTTTCAATTTACGCAAAAATGAAAACAAAATGTAGATCTCTTTTCAAACGGAAACAAGAATCGCTCCCTGAACTGTCCCGATCGAGCGCAGCCCCGATCGGCTTTGTACCGTGTTTACGTTTCATTAAGCTACGCAAATCCGATGTACATAAATGCGTCGCAAGGTAACCGGTGTGTTTCGTTTGTTCCGCAGGCACCGCATTGTTGCTCATTGCGGGGGCCGAGGTCTCAATGAGCCGCCATTTTGCGGTGGCGTAACGTTGCATCAAACGCAGATTTGCGGCGGGGTACTTTGTTAATTCGTCGACACGTTGAGCGCCGTGTCAGAGCCAACGGTGACTGACGCTATACATACATACAGTAATGTCTTTCTAATCGACGCTCGGATTGTCCATAAAAATGGACAATTTTGGAAAAGGAGATACGATTGTTCGAGCCTTATGGCTCGTTTTTTATGGTTATCGATTGTCAACGACTATAAACACGAGCTGCAAGGCTCGAACAATCGTATCTCCTCTTTCCGAATTGTCCATTTCTGTGCACAATCTGAGCGTCGATTAGGGAGATATTACTGTACTTTCCATCCGAATCCCCGTTAATCGCGGATGACCGATAATTTGAGAAATTATATTAATAGATAAATTTGAAAATAATTTGACGATCGTAGAAGAATGTACCGAAATATTATTTGTTACCAAAAAAGATGTCGACGAGTATTATTGAAACACAGGATTCGCAGGAATGTTCACGGAATATTGTAACGCGGCCTAAACGGAGAGGAAGGCGAAACAACGTGCTTGGCGTTTGTAACTTCCGCTTTCTCGCCATTCGCTCGAAAATGTTCCTTTTCGGTTCGCATCGTCGAGCCCGGAGAAATATTGCGATTAGACTCGGCGACCGTCGAAAGTGATTTTTTTAGGGGAATTTTTGGGACACTGTAGCCGCGGCAATACCGCTTATCGGTTTTCATGCATATGCGATCCGGTGTACTGTTATTTTCTTGGCCCCGGTTGAAACCGATAAGCGATCAATACCGGCGCAACGAAGCTTTCGTTAATAAAATGCATTATCTATGCCGAGCGGAATCACCTAACGCAAATTGGATCACCGCTTCTCGCTCCAGTGTTGGCCTACCCACTCGAGGCGGTATACTTTCCGAAGAGGGTCAGCGCAACAAAAGTGTAGCTTACGCTTACAGTATCATGATTTTAGCTTCGCACGTGTCCAACGAGCCTGTTTTGTTTGCTAAGCGAAGTGCACCGTCGAGGACCCGTTGTTTATTAGACGGCACTATTAAGCGCACTTCGCGAGACCCGTTCGCGTTCGCGTTCGGGTTCGAGTTCGAGTGGTCTGGCACCGCGTGCTCGCCGATTTTTCAACCAGAAGTATCGCCCGCTGTCAGCGAGCCCGGCCTTTTGATTAATTAATCGGCCGTAACGATGAATGCGCCTCGCCCTCGCCTCTCGTTAGACCATGTAACTGCCTCGTTGTTCCCCTAAGAATTTCGACGGATTTTAATCGGCTCCTTCGACGCGTAATCGAAGCATCGTAATCTCGAACATCGTTTTGCTCCTTTTGCCAACGACTTGGTTTTTTTAAACTTGCGACAACCGTCTCTATCCACGTGTTCGTTCCTATTCGATAATCGACGCTTCGGCGGTCGCATAAAAAGCATATACTAAAGTAGCAATTATTTATAGTTGGACCCACCGCGAGGAACGAATTGCGGTAACCATCGCGCGATATGATAAAGTATTCGTTTCGCCTCCTATACATTTTATGAAAATATTTGCGAACGCGAAGGTAAATGACTTTAACAGAATGAGATCATTTTTAAGATCGTTTACAGTTTTTCTTTACGAAGACGCGATTCGACGAAATAAATTCGTCCAGTGCGACGAAGATAGGTGTATTTATTCCCTCGAAATGCTTCGCGGAGAACAAGTATTTCACGTAACGAAATTGTTAACGATTCCTCCGTTCGGCGAACGTTGCGGTTCGATCAGAAAAGTGCGGTTTCTGGGTCGTGGTGATCGAACAACATCGATATTCTCCTCCGGGGGAGAAGACAGCCCTTAACGCATCGAAGAACTTTAGTATGATCGAAGTTCGCGCGGTTGAGCGGTTTTGTAACTATTATCTGCTACGAGGGTTGCTGGTCTGCGGTTTAAGATTATACGTAATTAACGCTCTAACGACCGCCTTGGTCAAATTGGATTATTTTTTTCCAGCAACGTTTCAATCAAGCCCGTCAACGTCCCCTTGAGCTATATCGAAAGATTCGACCCTGCAATTACTTTGCTAATTAAATCACGATCGCTTCCACTGCAGATGTTGCTTCGGCCGACGACACGCGATCAAGAATTGGCTCGAATAGTTTAAAAAGACGCTCGCACGGAATCCAAACGGCTAAAGTACAACTTGCTCGATGCGTGTCAAACGTTTTCGTTTAAAATACGATATTTTATAAACGCGTTTCCGTTCTCCGCGTCTTAAAGAGATCGAAAATTAGAACGAAACATTTTTGTCGATTTTTCGTATCGTTGCGAACGATTTTTACATCGTTGGACGAACCTGCTAAGCATGGACGATCTTTCAAAATTTCTTTTACTCGTCCTCCAACGTCTGGAATAAATTCAAGCGATTTGGTTCAATTTTTAAAAAAATTATTCCGTTTGAAATGGCGTCGACATACTTTCCTCTATTTCCCTGCACGGGCACCCGTATTCACGGAATAAACAGTCGAGGCTCCTCCGTGGCTCCGTTCGGTTTCCAAAAGCAGCGCATCCTCGTTCGACCGTTCGGAACGGTGCCCCACGGAGCAACGTGGAAGGGGTCCGCGCATCAGGGTGTTGTTCCTCCGAAGAAACCTAAAACTGATGGTTAATTATATTCGTCCCGCAACTGAACTTGGACTGGAGAGCACGAAGGGTCTTTTTTTAGTTTGCGGCACGCGCCGCCACGTGGCCGTGCCACGTCGACCTGGGCCGCGCTGCGCCGCGCCGCGCCGCGCCGAGCCGAGCCCTGAAGAGCAAACGAGCAGCAAACCGGCAGAGTGCTCGGTTTTGCGCCGGGGCCCCGGCCCCGGACCCCGGTTAGTGTTACCGATACGCCGAGAAGTACCGTCGATGCCTCTCGTCCGACTGAAAAGACGCATGCGGATGCAGAGAGTGTTTCGGGAACACCGGCGGTCCATTATCATCCCGCGAGTGCGAGAGATCGGGAACAATGACACCGCCGTGGCGCGCGTCCGGTGATTTCATTCTCGCGCGTCGCGTCGCCTAGCGTCGCGTCGACAGAAACGAGAGAGAAACCTTTGAAAATGGTTCCCGCGCGGACAAATTGGAATCGGACCGGGTGCTCGCGTTCCGAGCCTTGCCGACGATTCGGAGAATCGAACGATTAGAATCGAGGTGGGAATCTCGTCGCGGATCTCGAGATTTTTATCGATCGAAAACCGGTTGTCTCGAATCGTCTCGTTCGTTTTCGATTTTCTTACCTGTGCACGCGGTGGTCGGGCAAGCGGGACGACGCGGCAAAAAATTCAATTCTTCGACTTCTGTATTCGGACAAATTTTTGTTCGTTACGGCACGGTGTCCTGAAAAATTTCCAGAATTCAAATATCTTGATCCTTTTGCGTTATCGTATTATTAGAAATACCAACTTGAACATCGAATTATGCGAACGAAGATAAAACGTAGAATGGAATCGCTTTCCCAACTTTTCGCCACTTTATGGCAATTGTAGCTTCGAGAAGCTTTATAAAAAATGTTAAAAACGGAACTTACTTCGCATAAAAGCTTGAAATTGTTGCGAAGAAAATTAATGGTTGTTTCAAGCGTAACTTCTGGGTACACTTTTTAAGCTGCGCGATTTTTAAGAACCGAGCGTCCAAAGTTTCAACAGCTGGCCGAACGGGCGTGCCGCTTGCCGCGTTCGATGTTCGTCGCTGAGCGCTGGTATCCGATTTCAAAATATACCACGATTTTTTACACATCTCCGATGATCTGGCAAAACGATGTTTCCAACGAGCATTGGTCACAATTCACAATTTTTTACAAATTAAAATATAAAAACTGGCGAAGACAATTTTTTTCCATAAAACGTGCTAGCACAATATAATATTATGCTATTTATTAAAATAAAATAGTGCTATAATATTAAAATAAAATTTTAGCACGATATAATATTGTTAATACGATATATATGTATATGGTGAATATTTTAAGTTCAGATCTTCTCAATACTCTGTACACAAAAAATTGAATGAGAACGGTGACTCGAAATTACAGTCGCAGCGAGTACGTTGTTGTAAAATTCCTGAAATTTGCCCGCGCGTTGGGAATACTATACCGGTCTGATTGCCACTTTATCGGAGCATTGACGCGTAACGACCCTTGCGAGTCGCCGGCAAGGAAATACCAAGGTCCTGTAATAGCTCTCACCTTCAACTTGCAAAGAGCAAGGGAAAGAGACGGTTGCAAGGTGACGCAAACCAGTTACCGGCGACCGAGGTGTCTTCTCATAATTATCAAAAGGTGCATCAAGGTCGCTAATCGACTCGCGGAGCCACCTTGGAAACCATTTTCCACCCCATAATTAAAGAGAGTCGCTCGTACTTTCATTTCCTTTTAATTCGACCTGCTTGAACGCGTCGAATTGTCAGCCGATACAATCTGCTCGACGAGCTCCGACCACTTTTACGGCGCCCTCGCGAATTGCCCGCCGTTATCCTTACAGCGAACGTTTATGCAAATTCATATTTTCGCGCGTAAAATTCGAAGCGTCGCGTGCAATTTTCTGCGACGACTCGCGTGAAACAAAAGTTCGATATTGGAGGACCGCTTATTGTTCGATTGTGCTCTAATCCAACTTTACCTTCAATTTCAATTTACCAACAGCAACCGTAATTTATATATTTGCGATTGGAATTTTACAAACGGTGATAAACGGAATGCTTCGTTTTATAAGCTTACGACAAAATTGAGGAGACAACATTTGAAACTCATAAAAAAAGAATGGAAGAATATATCGCGTTCGAGGCATCAAAAAATGATCAATGAATGGAAGAACCGCCTGCAATGAAATTGCCCATCGTTCGTTAATTAATTGGCAGTATCCAAATTTGGCTGTTGAGCCGCAGGAAGTGGGAACCCGGGTCTGGCCTCGAATCACCGACATTCGAAGTCGCGGACGAGTAGTTTGATCCCGAACGCGATCCGCAATCGCTCGAAATCGATCATCCAAAGTAGCTAATTGTCCCCTGTTCGCGAGCTAACGACCAAGCTCCTCTCGATCCGAAGAATTACGAGGGTACACGCGAGTCCGCGGTCGCTTTCGATGCGATACAATGACGCTGGGCATTAAACGTTTCCTTCCGGGCAGAAACTGCGCATCCATCGGCGGTGCTCCCAATTCCTATGTTATTACCAATCACGACATTACGATTACGCGTCGGCGAGAGAGCCGATGGTTCCCTCCGGTTTCCCGGGGCGACGAAATTCAGCGTCGGTCCTGGCCGAAAATTACTCCCGTTTTACCGTCGCACTCTCGTGTATCCCTACGTGAAACCGTGGCGTCGCGTTTTGTTCGACGCGGAAAGGGTTGAGTGTAGGGGGACCGATCGTTCGGCGCTGTACGAAAACGATAATGGTGCCGATGCCTCCGTTCGTGGCGTCGGGAACACCGAAGCCGGCTAAGTAGGGGCCCGCGAAACTATTCGAAACGCTTGTCCCGCAGCGAAATCCAGCGAAATGCGGAGAAATGCGGCGAAACGGTCGGCGAAATGGCCGGCGAGCGGCGCGTGGGATTTGGGACAGCTGCGCGTGTGCTCCGGACAATTAATATGAATTATGGTAAACACCAGCGGACCGACTGAAAGGGATCATCCGTGGGAGTCGCGTATTCGAAGGCAGCCGAGCATAGAGCCCCGAACACGCCCCGGGGCGCGAATATTTCACTGCACATTTTTGCGCTACACCGTCTACCGGCTCGCAGGTGGTTCGCCCGAAACCGGAGAAATCGATTCTACTTTCTTCCCCTGTGATTCGGGGGCCTGTGTTTTACCGATACGCATCGGACGCCGACCGATGTGCAGGTAATGGCGCTTCGACGCTAATTTGCGCCGGATAACGGTCGCCGTTTAACGCGCCGAGAATGTAAGTCGATCTTCCGTAATTATTTATTGACGCGATAATCAATTTTGAGAACTGGTCTAAGATTCGAGCCACCCATGTGTGACCGACGAGGGTGCTCGACCTGTATTTAGATGCTGTTACTATTTTCCGTGATTCTTCGGAGGCTTCCGATCCCCTTGTCGATCAACGTATTTATTTATTAAGTAGTATATATTAAGTAGTATAATATAATATAGTATAATATTATTAAGTAGTATAATTCGAGCGAATTATTTATGTAGAGGGCGTCCTGTCCAGCGAATGAACGCATAAGGTGTCCGTTGGTTAAAATGATCATTCGCAATGACGTTATTAAACCCAAATGAAATAACCCAAATCTGTAGCTTTCAATTTTTATAAAAATCGTTGAAAACGAAGGATATTTTCAACGCGCACGCGATTGGCATTTACAGTCAACGTCGAACGACGTCCACTCTCTTCGACGAATTAAAAAATTCATGCGATGCTAATTTCCTGTCGTTAGAATTCTTTTTTTTATAATCCGAGAACATGTCGCAACGATCGAAAAATGTTGTAATTGATGGGTGCAAATCCTCGGAAGTATGATAAACACGATGCGAGCGCAAAAGCGATCATCATTAGTAACTTGTAAAGGAATCCCGTTTCGTAACGATCATGTTGAATTACACGGGCAAGAGACATCTTTATGAAAATAGAAAGTTACGACCGAGAACCTACAGCATTCATCATATTTATCCGATCGTTTAACCACGGATTAGGTGCCATTTATTTCAATTAGTTGAATAATCTCGAAGCCGTTTCTAGGTCAAGACGCTATAAATTTTCTGACAGATCGGTTCACAAATTCTGCAGGATATGGAAAATGACCGGATCGTTCGAAATATCTTATTCGTTGAAATTAATCGCTCGCATCGAAACCACGTATCAATTCGAATTTAACCGTTGATTGTAAATCGTTGCTGCGTGTTCAGCGAATTGCAAACTTTCGTTGCTCTCGTGCAAATATATTCTATCGAGCCAGGACAAGAATCGCGCGCGTTTCCCATGGGAAATTTTTCTCCGTAGACTCGTCGACACACTTTCGGTTGGATTTGCAATTATTATCAGCGAAAGCACTCGCGAGTTCTAATGAATTTGAAAGGAACTAGGTCTGGCAATTTGTCAACACAGTACAAAATCCGTGACTCGTAATTACAGCTATTACAGAACAAGCGTACGCGCACCGAGATATTTACATTTGCCCGCAGGCATAAATGTTCCTTCGTGCATTTGCGCACATAACCAGCCCGCAGGTGTCTTTCCCGCCCTGTAAACGTCGACTGGATCAGACCGCGCGCGTATCCGACATCCATAGTCCAGACATCCGAGAATACACGTAATTCGATTTTTCGAAGCAAATTGAATATTTTTCCTATTATTTCGCCGACTTGTTTTTATGTCGTTCGCAACGGCGGCGTTAACTTCTGCCACACTTTTGCCGTGAAATTGCCTGCCGCAGCCTATTAGCCGTTGCAATTTCGTTCTAATTGCATAATCGTAACTGTGATTCGGGTTACGCGTTAATTGCGGAGATCGCGTGCGCAAACCTCGCTACTACGCTACACCAGCCATCGAAAAATAAATAAATACGAACCGCGAAACAGTTTCATTTTGAAATTCAAAAAACTCTTTCTGATATTTTAATTGCGACAAAGCAGCTTTAAAAAGCGACACAGCTGGCTTTGAGCATTCTTTAAATGTGCTTAAATGCTTATAATTTTAACAAAATCGTACACCGATGCATAGGATTATTAATAATTGATGGAACATGTAAAAGTCTAAATTTAATCGTCAGGAACTAGATAGCCAAACAACGATATTTGTTGGATATCCAACGATACTCACACACATACACACACACGCGCGCGCGTCTACATAGGGGCAATAAATAAAGGTACAAGCCCGAACTTCATAAATGCAGGTACAAGATCGAGATTCTCGGGGAAACGGGTATACATTAGGACTCTCATTTACCTGGAATTTACCTGAAGGAATTGTATAAAAGGACTGGAATAGTATAAAGAAGGAAAAGAAATAGTATAAAGAAGGAAAAAAATAGTATAAAGAAGGAAAAAAATAGTATAAAGAAGGAATAGTATAGAGGACGACACTACTTCCCATAGAACTACAGAGGCGTTCATCAGCCTAGAAGACGATCGGTCAGACAGTATCTCCGCGACTTCACATACAGTTACTCTTCTTCGCATAAAGTACATTTTATATCCGCTAGGTGCTTTCTCTAAACACTGTATTATATTTGTATTGCATTATTAGTAAATAAACANGTATAAAGAAGGAATAGTATAGAGGACGACACTACTTCCCATAGAACTACAGAGGCGTTCATCAGCCTAGAAGACGATCGGTCAGACAGTATCTCCGCGACTTCACATACAGTTACTCTTCTTCGCATAAAGTACATTTTATATCCGCTAGGTGCTTTCTCTAAACACTGTATTATATTTGTATTGCATTATTAGTAAATAAACAATTACAAATTCCAACATTCCAACAATATTTATATTCTGGCTGCAAATGGATAATTGACATTAAATATTGTGGTTAGGTTAGGAACAATATAGGTTACTGTAGAACGCTGCAATGTCTTTTTACAAAAGAAGTACACGGACAGTTTTAATATTATACACAATGGAATTGTCGAAGATTGTACGTTACCTTTGGCTGGTTTCTTGAAAATTCGAAGCTCGGTTACAGCAACGATGCCCATAGAAATGACGCAAGCCCTCGCTCTGCGACAACTTGTGTTCACGTGCCGTCGGTACTTGTCTTCTTCGTCGCAAACATAGCACGAGAACGTCTAAATCACGATAGTTTATCGAAACAACTTTGAAATTTCAATTACACGATAATTAACATTTCCATTGTTTAATCGAGGAGCCAGCGACGAAGCTTCTTCTCCAGTGCTGCACGGCCATCTCTGAATCTCTGACCACGTGACGTAATATCGATAGATCGACAACTTCGATTTGACCTTCCTCGCTCGAAATTTTTGTCACCCCTGTGTCGAGCAATCCAAAATGGCGGAGTGTTGGTGAAAGGGGTAGTTCGTGCTCCTCGATTAAGCGATCAAAGTAAAATGTATATCGTGATAGAGAAGCGTCGAAGCAGTTTCAATGAACAGGTTAAGTGTTTGAAACAAGTGGAAGAGTTTGTTAAAATTGAAATCGCAGAATAGAAGAGATATTTGAAAAAGAAGTAGAGCATCTTCCCGCACTTTGTTCAGCCAGCCAAAATGGAGATCCACGCATGTATACTGCGTACAGCGGGTTTCGGTAAGTTGCTTGCAACAGTATATTACAACGTTAGTATTTATAATTGTCTTGTGATTTGGAACTCACTGCGCTTTACACGAAGACAGACAAATACATCGCGAAATAAGACAGGATATAATCTTTAGTTTAGTGGAGGTATATTCTAGTCGAGACAGTATTCTTTACCGAGGGGAAATTGTGCGATCAGCAAAGGGGTAGAGAAGGTCTCGTAGAAGAATGCAATTGCATTTTAATTCTCGTTGAAACATCGACCACCAAAATAAAGGTTTATCGAACCGGATGGTGCAAAAATAAACAAGAAAATGGGCGATGCTTTCTCAGCTGTTGAAAACCGTCGATAATTGGCATTAAAAATTCGACGTTTTTACGACGACCGAAACGACGGTTGTCCATCCAGATTGCCGATCGGCACAGCCGCGAGTCGATCGAGGAAGGCATATAATTCGCGAAAAGCGGCGCGGCCTGGCGCGGAGGCCCCGCGTGATTGGCCGGACGCGGCCACGCGATCGCTCTAGAAATCGGTCGATCGATTTCGTTGCATGCGGCACGAACGTTCGTCCGATCTTCGCGGATCACCGCCGATACGGCGCAGGTGCCACCGTGGTCGATGTGAAAGTTCGATCGCTTCGAGGAAGTCTTCGTGACGATCGTCGATCAGATACCGGACAATGTTGCTCGGGCTTCGATTATCGGCCGCGTTATCGATCCGCGGAGCGCGTCGAAACGTTACGATTTCCTGGCCGAACGAGAGCGGCCCTGAGAGGGGAGGGGGTAGGGCCCCGAGAGGGGGACCGTTTACACGGACGATCGTCCTTAGATTCGCCGCGCAGATACCGCGTTCCGCGTTCGTTATTATTATTTGGCAATAACTTTCGAACAGCCGCGGGACGCGCCGAGCCGCGCCGCGCCGAGCCGAGCCGAGCGGAGCCGAGCCGAGCCGCCGAAGCCCTCGCGAGGTTGCAGCCTCGAGTAAATATAATAATCGAGGCGAGCCGGATAAATATATTGATCGCCGTTATCGAGGAAGTACAAACCCGGCCGGGCTGACGTCTTCTCGCAAGAATTACGCGGTTCTTTATGAAAGAAGATTAAGGGGCTTTTCAATCGGAACGGTCTAATAGTTGGTCCGCCGACGAAACGCTTAATCTGCGACACGGGAATCGCGATTACGACCGTGTAGATCGGAATCTACGATTCATTTCCGAAGCTACGCTGTCGTCGCAGATGTTCGAGCTTCTGTTTCGCTCCGTAAACGAGTAGGAGACTTTTTATCTTTGCGATCTAGCAGGGCGATCGAGGCTTCGCCGGTATTCAGATGAATATCGCGACGCGTTAGTTCACTTTAAGACGCGAATTATACTCTTTAGATGCTTGAAAAGTAAAGACGTTGAATGATTAGGGAAATTTTAGATCACGCTGCGTTCTCTTCGTTTATTCTTGAGGGTTCGCGATCGGTTCGTGCCCGTAAAATATATTCTATTACATGTTATAATAGAATAAACGTGTCCGATTATATTTCAAGCGCGCGCATTCTCGACAGAATCTCTGTCAACCAGCAGAATCCGCGTTAAGTCGCACGATAGTTTCCAGCGCGATAAAGGTAATAAGACACTGGCGTGTTATCTCGTCGGTTGGTAAATATTTCTGCGTCGAACCGTTCCGAATGAATGCCGTTTGTGTTCTCGGCGCAGCGAAGTGTATTCGCAAATAAACATTTGTAATGGGAACGGTGAGCCGTTTCCGCGGCGCGGACGACCGGCAAGTTTTGCAGCGCGCGGAACCGACCGATCCGTTTCCGGTGACAGCCGATAGACGAGAATTAATATCCGTAACGCGAGGGAAGCTTCGGTAAACGACGAATTCAATATTTCGAGAGACAAATCGTTTGACGTACGAGGAGGAGGACGTTCAACTGTCGATTCGGGGCTTCGGCTTGTCGAAGCGCAGCTGACAAAATAATTAGTTTCCAAGGCTCGGCCGTGAATGGTAGAGAATCCGCTCTGCTCGAAATCGCGGTGTAGAGGGATAGCTCAAAAATTGCGTTCTATCCACCTGTCAATGGACGCGTTATGAACGCGCCGCGCCGCGCCGAGCGGAGCTCGCGGACCACGGCCGAATTTCCCTCTAGGCCGGAAACCCGCGCCTCTCTCGCCGCTGCCGGGGAATTAGACACTTGAATTTTTATCGTTCCACCGGCTAACGTCTCGCGAATTTATGCATCTCGCCGTAAATAATCCAGAAAACGGTGGACGCTCGTAATTCACCGAGGGCGAACGTGAAAGCGAAGTGAATTTACGATCGATCGGCCCGCGCTCCTTTTTAATGCAAACGACGCGACGGTCGCGTGGACGACGGAAATTGCTACTTCGTTAATTAAATTCGTGACGAACGGTCGCGCCACGATCTACAAGTTATTTGCAATTTCTATAAACACGGGGGACCGAAAATATTGGATCGTTCCGTGTAACAATTAATTTGCAGTTACGAAAACTTCTTCCTCCGCCTTGACCGTTCCCCGTGTGTTTCTCAAGGTGAAAGTTCGCACGTTTTTTTTTCTGTTTCACATTTTCCAGAACCTTCGACGTTTTTCGTGTCCATATTACGCTACGCGTTTCTTTGAAATGCGAAGTTATAAAAGAATCTCTTCGATTAATAATGAATTTGTCGTTTGGAAAATTCCACACATGGAGAACAGACGGCAGAAAAGCATTAATTATCTGGAGTATCGGTGCGTCGGTATTTTTAGGACTTCGAATATTCGCTGAATACATTTTTCATAGCGGGGAACGGTTCCTCGGAATAACTTGTCAACGCGTAAGCGTTTCGAAAAGCAAGGAACGAGAAAAAAGGGTCCGACGTTATACGATAATAAAAACTGCCGCATACAATGCGGATTCGAGGGTAGTTCCAGGCCAGATACCGGACTGATAGCTCCGGGCTGATAGATGTCGGCTAATTACGTGCCCGAGAAGTCCTGCTTACGTTCGGCCAGGAAGAGAACCCTTTGCTTGCATTCTTTCTTCAGCGCGGCGTCGACATCGTGGTCGACCACCCATTGACAGTAATATCCAGGTATTACTTAAGAACTATAGTTTCCGGTCTGCGCTAAAATCCACAGTTCCAGACAGTCGTGGATGTCGGTTTTTAAACATTCAATTGGCTGTTACGCCTTACCGTCGCGAAAAAATAATTTGGAATTCGGTATTTTCTAAAGCTGTCGCAGGAAACGATAGCGGTACAGCTATTTATTTCTCAGCCAAAAAATTATGCGAGTCCAAAATCTCATCTTTACAATCTCAATACAGTAATATCTTTCTAATTGACGCCCAAATTGACCATGAAAATGGACAATTTGGGAAGAGGAGATACGATTATTCGAGCCTTGCGGTTTATTTTTATAATTATANTACATTTTTCATAGCGGGGAACGGTTCCTCGGAATAACTTGTCAACGCGTAAGCGTTTCGAAAAGCAAGGAACGAGAAAAAAGGGTCCGACGTTATACGATAATAAAAACTGCCGCATACAATGCGGATTCGAGGGTAGTTCCAGGCCAGATACCGGACTGATAGCTCCGGGCTGATAGATGTCGGCTAATTACGTGCCCGAGAAGTCCTGCTTACGTTCGGCCAGGAAGAGAACCCTTTGCTTGCATTCTTTCTTCAGCGCGGCGTCGACATCGTGGTCGACCACCCATTGACAGTAATATCCAGGTATTACTTAAGAACTATAGTTTCCGGTCTGCGCTAAAATCCACAGTTCCAGACAGTCGTGGATGTCGGTTTTTAAACATTCAATTGGCTGTTACGCCTTACCGTCGCGAAAAAATAATTTGGAATTCGGTATTTTCTAAAGCTGTCGCAGGAAACGATAGCGGTACAGCTATTTATTTCTCAGCCAAAAAATTATGCGAGTCCAAAATCTCATCTTTACAATCTCAATACAGTAATATCTTTCTAATTGACGCCCAAATTGACCATGAAAATGGACAATTTGGGAAGAGGAGATACGATTATTCGAGCCTTGCGGTTTATTTTTATAATTATAAATTGTCCACAATTATAAAAACGAGCCACGAGGCTCGAATAATCGTAACTCCTCTTCCAAAATTATCCATTTCAGTGGACAATCCGAGCGTCGGTAAAGGAGACGTTACTGTAATCGTAAATTAAACAATTTGGACCCCGTTATTTCGAATCGCAATTATACCGTCCCGGTATTTTGAACGACGCGACGAGATTTGCTACCACGGTTAGCTACCAGCCTGATTTTTAGCTACACAAATAGAGTGTCGAGGCGTGTACATTTATTATCTTACTTCATTGCAGTAAGACAATTTCGAAGATTACGATGTGTAACGAGGCAAGTCAAATATTAGAGTTATCAGGCTGCTCAAACAATTCTCCTCTCGGTCGTCACATCCTTCCACGGCTTCGTTTCTCCCGTTTTCCTCGATACGGCCCGGTTACTCCGCGCGGGGCAACGCTTTCGCAATTCTTCCGTCGTGTACCGACTACCGACAGACTTCGTTTTAATCGGAGTTCATGCAATTAACTTTTTTTCCCCTCGAAACAGGAAAACAACGAGCACACCGTTATCGTATATGCAAACTAGT